ACCAGCCAGCGGCGTGACCCCGGCGTCGGAGGTCAGACGCACGCACGCATCCGGTAAGAGCCGAGCATCCTTGAACATGCACGCGCGCGCGCGCATCACTGTGTCAGCAGCAGCCCCGGCGGGAGCCGAACCCCCAGCTCCCCCTTGAACCTTCTAGAAGGCGTCCCGGAGTCGCGGACGACGGCGCCGCCTGCTGGCCGGAAGGGCACGCTCGGGACGCTCTAGGCGCGCGGAGGCCCCTCGCATCTCGTTGGTTGCAGGGGTCCGGGCCTGGAGGGGAGGGCTCAGCGTCGCTTTCTATTGGAGCAGCCCAGGCAGGAAGGGGCGGGGCCTTGGGGAATCCGAAGCTCGCTGTGTAGCAGACAGAGCTCCATCTCTGCCCTACCTCGGGCGGACGGGGCGGAGCTTCTGAGAGTCCCAATCCCAGCCCTGCCTCGGGAAGAAGGGGCGGGGCTTCCGCGAGTCCCAATCCCTGCCCTACCTCGGGCGGACGGGGCGGGGCTTCTGCGAGTCCCAATCCCAGCCCTGCCTCGGGCAGAAGGGGCGGGGCTTCTGCGAGTCCCAATCCCAGCCCTGCCTCGGGCAGAAGGGGCGGGGCTTCTGCGAGTCCCAATCCCTGCCCTGCCTCGGGCAGAAGGGGCGGGGCTTCGGCGAGTCCCAATCCCTGCCCTACCTCGGGCGGACGGGGCGGGGCTTCTGCGAGTCGCAATCTCCGCCCTGCCTCGGGCGGAAGGGGCGTGGCCTCGCTGGGGACGTCCCCGTGCGTAGCCCCGCCCCAGGGGCGGAGCCTTGGCGGCAAGTTTGAATGGAACCCGGGCCCTGCCCCTGTGGAGCTGCACACGTCCCAGTCGCTGTCGGTCCCTGGGTTTGCGCTTGGCGGCTGTCGTGAGGGTTGGACGCGGGAGCTTCTCTTTGGCTCTAGGTTGACCCGCTCCGCTCATGATAAACTTCTTACGGCCCGCCGGGACGCGGAATCGGCGTCCCGGGACGGGAGGGGCTGCCGTGTGTTCTGATTGGCTGTCGCTTGCAAGCCGGGCGGCAGTGATTGGCTGTTGCGGGCTGTAGCTCCGAGTCCTGTGGTGAGCGACCTGCCACCGAGATGAGCGCCCGCCGGGCAGCTAGAGCGCCCTGATCCTCTCCTCCACACACACACACACACACACCCCAGGAGCTGCAGGTTCGGAGCCCGCCTCGCCTGCCGGGGAACCGGCGACTCCGGAAAGGCCGAGCGAACTGGGCAGCGAAGCCCAGGCAGCCATCTTTGTTGAGGGCAGAGCCTCCTCGCTGCCCTACCTACCGACGATTGGAAGAACGTGCTGGGGTCGCCGGAAGAGGCGGGAGTTCCACAGATGGAAGCCTATGAGCGGGCGGGCGGCCATCTTTAGTCCTGGCCCGCGCCTCACGTTGCCCTTTCTATGGGCGCTGGACTTCCGGAAGGCGGGTCCCGGGCCCCTCAGCCGGCTCCGAGTGAGCTGAGTGGGTTTTGTGACTGAAAGCTTGAAAGCTGGGGAGGGGCCGTCCTCCCCGCGGGTCCCCGGAGGGTTGCGGGACAGCTTCTCCGAGGCTCACGGCTGTCATCCCAGCTGAGATCGGAGGATCGCAGTCGGAGGCCAGCCCCGGGGAGAGCCAGGTCGGCCATGGCCGGGCTGAGAGGCTGGAGCTGCGCCCCAAGTCTCGTTAAACACCCCACGGGGTTATAAAAGACAGCCAGTGCGGGCCCCAGGGGGCAACCCCAGGCCTTGGGGCCCTGAGATCGCAGCGTCTGCGCCCCGAGTTCAACACCAACCCCACACAGGAAACACCCACCCGATGAGCAAGGATCAGGTCGAGAAAAGGCGCGAGGGGTGTGACAGGCCGGGAGCCAAAAGGAAAACGAAGCGAGGACGGCGCCACGTCGTCCCCGGTGCCTCTCCCGGCCCGGACGGGTGACATCTGCGCTTCTAGGAGACAGACAGACAGACATTTAACGAACACCACCGCGATCTCAGCCCCAGCGCAGCGGGCAAAACGGGAACACGTCCGGAACCCGATCAGCACACCCGGCCTGTGGTGCTAGCAGCTCCGGAGGCTGAGACCTGAGGATCGGGGTTCGAAGCCAGCCCGGGCAGAGAGGACAGTGTGTGCGACTCTCATCTGCAAAAAGTCCCGTCGAAGAATCTGGAAGGGAGGGCTGGGGGGAGAGTGCCAGCCTCGCAGGCAAGGAGGCCCCGGGTTCGAGTCCTCAAGCGCTCACGGAAGGGGAAAAGCCGGAGGTGGCGCCGTGGCTCAGGCGGTGGAGCGCCGGGAGCACCCCGCGCCGCTCAGGGTCCGTCTCTATTCTTATTATTCAGCCTAGGCCTGGGAGGTAGTTCTTCATCGGCGTGGATTCGAACCGACGAAGCCATCGCGCCTGGGACGGCCAGGCCAGAGCGTCCGGAAGCGAGGCGGGGCGGGGAGGAGGGGTGAGGTCACTGTCTCTGAGCATGCGCAGCAATCAAAAGGGAAATCAAAGACTCACGGACGCACGCCGCGGCCAATCGCAGGCCGCGCCGGCGTCACGCCGGCGCAGAGGGGGCGGGGGAGGGGTGACGTCAGTGTCTTGCCGCGCATGCGCACCAACGAAAAGGACTAAAAGACTGACGGACGCACGCCGCGGCCAATCGGAAGCCGCGCCCTTGTCACGTGGGCGCAGAGCGGGGAGGAAGAGGGATGACGTCAGTGTCGTCCTGCGCATGCGCACCAACAAAAAGGCCTAAAAGCCTGACGGACGCACGC